GGAGTAAATTTGAAGTTGCATAGAGCAAAGAAATTGCCACATTTTGTTCCAAGATTGCAAATCTGTGCCATTTTAGCAAATTTTAGCTTGGCACACCTTTAGTGAAGCAACAGCCATACAGCTGTGTCAGCCTACAGCTCAGTTTACCTGGTGCCTGAGAAAGTAAGGGACAGCAGAGGGGCTCCTACCTGTGCTTGAAATTCTGTCAATCCACAGGACAACTCAGGTATATCCTAATGAGTGGCAATCACAAACGTAAAATGCTGCAGACAGCACACCTCCACCATGTGCCAAGCAGAAGATGTAGGGTCTGTACCTCTTCTTTCAGCTCGTGAAAATTATAGAATCATTGAATGTTTTAGGTTGGAAGGGACCTTAAAGATCATCTAGTTCTAACCCCTTTGCATGGACAGGGACACCTCCTGGTAGAACAGAGTGTTCAAGGCCTCATCCAGCCTGGTCTTGAAGACCTCCAGAGTGGCAGGGAAAGGAGAATGCTTGATGTTTTTAAGTTGCACAATCTTGATCCAAGGTATGCTGCTTTACTGGAAAATGCTTTCCTATAATCCTGCATTCTTGTGCTCTCAGTAGAGAAAACCAGACAGGAACCCTCTGACCTGCACTTAAAACAACCAGCCTATGCCACCCTCACCTTTCATGCCATGTGTCCATCAGGCATAGATGGGGGAGCTTTGCAGATGTGGTGTTGTTCAGATAAAAGGTTGAAGTCCCAACAAGGAAGTACTTTTCTACAGTAGTAGACAGGACTACAGTGTAAGTCACACTTAATTACTACTCTGTTCAAGCCCTGTGCACATTCCAGCACCTGTACATAGGATAATGTGTATAAACTTGCTGTGATTGTAATCTCCTGTATTTCAGTCAGAAACTCTTGCTGCTGCCTTCCCATCCATCTACGACAGCCATTAGCTTCTGTGAACTGAAGTAAAATCCTGCAGTTGTGTATCTGCCATTTTAGGATACTTTAACACTTAAATAATTTGATAAGCATTTCTTACTCTAGACAGTCCAGTACTGAGAGCAAAGGCTGGCTGCAAGAAAAGACTGTTTTCTCTGACCCATTCATGAGAGAGCTCTATTGGAACTTATTTATTGCTCTTTAAAAATGACACAGTTCAGGCTGAGAATTTAAGGATGACTTGTAGTAAAGGTCTACCAAGTGTGTATGCTCAGAGTTATGCTCTCTTGTTCCTTCTCAGAGCATTTATACCTTAGTCAAATGTTAAGGTATTCTTGGTTTCTCTTGGTGTCTCTTCATATGAGAAAAGTGAAATGGCTTTAAGATTCCAATATGGGGAAGGAGTATTTTCTTCATATCAGTGATGAGGTATCAATCACTTCAAAGCCAACATTTTGAAAAACAAAGAATACCTTTACTAAAGGCAAGTGTTCAGCAGCCCCACCACAGGTCACACTTGTCTCTGCCTACAATCATTTCAAACACTTACATACAGCCTGGTGCTGCTGAACTTCTCTATTGCCAGCAGCTGCTGAGAAATGACACCCTGTATCCTGGCTTGCATCAAAAGAAGCATGACAAGCAGATCAAGGGAGACGATTCTCCCCCTCTGCTCTGCCTTCATGCAGCCACACCTGGAGTGCTGTGTCCAGTTCTGCAGTCCTCAGGACAAGACACATAGCTGTTGCAGAGTCCACAAAAGGCCACAAAGATCATCAGAGGGATGGAACACCTTCTCTATGAAAAAAGACTGAGAAAGTTGGGGGTTGTTCAGACTGGAAAAGAGAAGGCTCCAGAGAGACCTTATTGCAACTTTTCAATACTTAAAGATGGCCTGTAACAAAGATGGATACAAGTTTTTGTGCAGGTCCTGTAGAGACAGGACAGGGTTAATGGTTTTAAGCTGGAAGAGGGTAGACTTAGACCAGATATTAGGAAGAAATTTTTACAATGAAGGTGATGAAAACACTGGCACAGGTTGTCCAGTGACTGGTAGATGCCCCATCCCTGGAAACATTAAAGGTCAGCAACCTAATCTAGTTGGAGATGTCCCTGCTCACTGCAGGAGGGTTGGACTAGATGGCCTTTAAAGGTCCCTTCTAACATAAACTATTCTATGAAATGTGCTATTTATTTTGCTGCTAAAGTAGCAATGTTGAGCAATCATGCAGCTAGTAGACAATGCTTGTATCGTGTCAATATCTTGTAAAGTGGAAAATAAAAAGGCCATAACTAGGATGTATCCATGCACTACCTGCACTTAAGACAAAATGAAAAACGGCTGTATAGGAAATAATTTTCAAGTTTGAACAACAAATGGGAAGTAGGAAGAGGCCTGTTTGTCTGAACTTCAGCAAAAAATGCTGTGAACAGGAAAGGTTTGTGCAATACAACACTTTCAAGCCAACAGTTTTTTTGATTCTCAGAATTAAAAAAATTCCTTGGGTTGTATCCCTAGTCATTGTTGCACATAAAATATTCTTAATAATTAATCTGATAACTGGGCCAGCATTAGATGAATTGGAAATCTGTGAATATCATACAAGAATCATTATTCATAATAGAGTCCTATAAATATTAAAAACTAAAATACAATTGTATAATACAAAAAGTTATCAGATGATTCTTTGCATATTTTGCACATGTGCACAACTGAGAGTAAAAAACATGACTCCTTTGGAATTTTCATCCCCTCAGTCTTGGAATGGCATCTTTGAAATCTGGAGGTGAGCTGCTTTGAAGGCATGCTTGAAGCACCATGCACATTTAAACTTACAGAAACATGTTTTGTCTCTCCCCAGATCTTCTGCATAGTTTAAAGCTTGTATATGTGCACTGTATGGTCACCAACAGCTCTATATTCCTTTGAATTTGCCTGGTTTCCATCCATGGATATTTATTTGGCCTAAATTGGAGAAATCTGTATTTCCTGGCTCCAGATCAGAGACGAATTTCGCAGTACTTCTCAAGATTATTTATGTAATAAATAAAAGTAACTTTCTTTCTAAATGCAAGGTAATTTGCGACTATCAAACAAGTTTATCAAACAAGAATGACAACAGTTATGTACCTTTCAGTGTGTTTTATTGCCAGCTTTGCTTATTCTAAACACACAAATTGCCTGAACAACAAAAAATACTGCTGGCAGACAAGTCTTTGAAGAGAATCATAGAATGGTGGTTTCTACGGCAGACTTCAGGGATCATCTGGACCAACTTTTCTAGGTACTATTATAGTTTAAATGAGATGGTTCAGCACCCTCTCAAACGGAGACTTAAAACTGTACAATGTAGGTGGGGGAAACCATGCTTTCCCTTGAGAGATTATTCCAATGTCTAACTGTTTCCATGGTGAAAAATTTTCTTCTGGAGTCCAACTGGAATCTCCTCAGGAGCAACTTGTGCCCGATACCCCTTGTCTTTTCCATGTCACTCCTTGTAAATAGGGAGTCTCTATTTTCTTGGTAGCCATCCTTTAAGTACTGAAACATGGTAGTAAAGTCTCCCCAATGCCTTCTTTCCTCAAGAGGGAACAAACCCAGTTTTCTCAGCCTCTCCTCATATGGCAGGTCCTTCAGTCCTCTGATCATCCTTGTGGCCCTTCTCTGGCCCCTCTCCAGCCTGTCTACAGATTTTTTATAGAGCAGGGACCAGAACTCAGTCAATACTCCAGGCATGGTCTGACAAGCACTGAGTAGAGTGGAGTGATGTCGTCTTGATTTCTGCTGCTGATGTCCTTGTTGATGCTTTCTTTGCCCTGCATCACACTGTGCACTCAAGTTGAGCCTGTTGTCCACCAAGACCCCCAGGTCCCTTTCCACAGGGCTGCTCTACAGCCAGGTAGATCCCAGTCTGAACTGCACTTCTGGGTTACATGTTCCCAGGTGCAAGACCTCACACTTTTCCCCACTGAACTTCACAAGATTCCTGCTAGGCCACTCCTCCAGCTCCTTCTGGAGAGTGGCTCTCCCTTCTACAGTGAAGTATACAGCTGTGTGGTGTAAACACACCTGTCAGGTACCATTAAAATAAATTACCAGATTACTAAAAATTTGAAGAAGTATAGAATAAATGCTTATGGCAAGAATTAATAAACGTAATACAATCTTTATTAATCACAAGTGTAATTTAATTTAGTTGTTTTCTATAACCTTTAGAATACTGGGACATGCAAATTCATTATCTGCACACTCCTAAGAAGGCAACTGTTTGCTTAGCTGATGAGCAACCTTGTATTACATGCAAAAACAGCAGCAGAGGCTTTAAAATATTTTTTCATAATTAAAAAAGTTGGGGAATTATTTGCCTGAGACTTAGATCCCTAAAAATGATTACATAAAGTACTTTACACTGGGCAGTCCAGGTTCTCAAATCCCACATCTGTGCCTAGTCAGACATCACTAAAATTATGGTCCCTGCATGTATTGACACCTTACCAACAAAAATACCAATAGATTATTTGAACAATTACAAGTTTAGAAGTGTGGCATTACATTTAGAATGTAACTTAGGTCACAGATCATATTTTCAGTAGTGTGAGTAGAGCTACCACAAAATGACATGAATTTTTCAGACAGTAAGAATTGAAAGTACTTTGTAAACATACCCTAGAGTCACAATGTTCTTTATTCTTGTAAGAGCACTCTTATTGCTATATTTATCTTTTTTACGTTTCATTAAATAGGTCTATCAAACAAACCACGAAAAGGACTACTGAACAATGAATTAAACAAAAGAAACTGAAAGCATTTTCAACAGCATGGTGTAAAAAAAGCTACCCTGAAACTCAGATGCACAAGAGACACCCTTTCAAGAATTGTATCAGGAGTGTCATCTGGAGTTAGCTACATTATGATCACTAATACTGTACTTGATGGTCTGTTTACAGGAGGTGGGGGTGTTCACTAAGAGCCAGGGTATCCAACAGGGTGCGAGAAGAGACTTGATGACACTCTTCCATCTTTTCCTGTTCTTCCATGTTCTGCTTTTGGTAGTAGGGCATAGGGGGCACTCTCCAGTCGCTACTGTACAAACAGGATGCTGAAGGCCATCACAACACAGCACACAGCCACGTAGGGGCTCTTCCGTTCACCTAGGGGAAGGGAAAGAACCCAAAACCAAACAAAAATTCAGGCATGACTAAAGAGATCTAGAATGCTCCTAGCCTAACATGGCTTACTATAAACCATCTTTTCTGAGACGTAGTTTCCATGAAAAAAAAAAAAAAAAAAAAAGCCACCCCAAAACCAAAGAGCTGCTATCACTTAGTGCCAAAGACAGTCAGGAGGCATACATCAGATATCTCACTAGGACAAATCTTTTACTGGGCTACCACTGCTCAAAAGCTGTTTTGTGTCAGCTAGAAAGAGATGCACCACAATGCTATCTGGTGATGACAAGTGCTAGGTGCAGTGTGGATCTTCTATGCATGGTGTCATGTAAGAGCCAGCTAACTGCCTGGGGAGTTCACAGTGGCCCAGACATGGCCAGATGCCTGTCTTTTTTGTTTGCTAGAAAGACATAACACTGTTAGTATGTGGAGAGGGTCTAGTGCACAGATTTTCAGGTTTGTGATAAAAATGGCCAGCAGATTACAGAAATTGCACAAACATGTCTATTTCTTACTCTTTCAGTTAAGTGTTACAGTTTTCCACGGCAGACCATGAATGAAAGTTAATTTTCTTCCATTAACAGACACACTTGGTGGCAAAGACAACAACAGAGATGTTTTTCTATTGATTTGTTCCAGAACAAAATGTTACCTATGTCTTTTTTGCACCAAATAGAGTATGATAATAAATAATCTTAGGTAGGGAATTGTAACACTATCAGGGGAACATTAGTAATGTTAATCAGCCTGCTACCTATTTACATGGGCACTTCCTCCATTTAATTTGCCAGGTGTTTTTAACCTTCTACTTAAGAATTACAGTTCATGAATCCACTGGCTTCTCTATGGAGAGCAGAATCAGCACACAATGGTACTTTCAGCCTACAAAACTGTCAGGAAGTGTTAACACAGCAATGACTCTTTAAAGTTTCTGGTTTTAAGCACTCACAAGCATAGAAACAGAGCTGAAGCTGCTTGCTTTAAACAAAATTCAAATTCCTTCTGCTGTGCAAGATTTTTTGTTTTGCTATGAACAACCTTTTCTGAGATGCAGTTTTCTGAGAAAGATTAAATAATAAAAACTGCCAAGGTTCCCTAAACTAGCATTAAGGTGTAATCCTTGAAACCAAAAAGTCTCTTTTACCAGCAGGACGTTCAAACAAGGGAGGAACAAACTTTCCCTAGCAAAAGAAAAATAAAATACTTGTAGTGGCACCTCCCATAAGCAGAAGTGCCTGCCACAGTGACATTACAAGATGTTGTCATGATCTGGCATATATTTAATTTAACTTCAAATAACTGAATGAATTAATGTCTGCAGTTTCACATCTGTTTAAAATAAATTTTTTAGGAAGTCCACCTCCTACAGTTTCAAGTATTACAATTTTCATATGGGTTATACTTTCCTGCTCTTAATTTTCTTAAAAGAGAGATCACCATGTGGCGGGATTAAACATCATTTTGCACAACTTTGTAAACATGTAACCACTTGCGGGTTATTAAAATCTTATGCACATGTGAAAAGGTTGTTTAAACATACTGGGCATGTTAAATGCAAAGGAAGCCAATAGGCATTTTTGTATTTAAAAGCCTACACTTTCTACATGCCCTTGTGATTAAGACAGATAAAACAACAGGAATCATCTTCAAAGTCCATTTCCCATACTGAGGATATGATACTGTTATGCAAAGAACTGCATAGAAGGAAAGTCAAGATGGTACCTCCCCATCCATTCATCTAAAATAAAGTCACATTGGACCACTCTAGATGTAAGTTGAAAAGAAATTAGTGGTTTACCTGAAAAAAAAACAACAACCCAACACAAAAAGGAAGCAGTTCAGTATGGAGCACAAGAGTGCATGCATTACCTTGGATTCGGGAAATGCAAACATGTTAACATTAGTACATGATGGGAAAACCAGAATATATTCCAGATGAACTGCAGTTCTTAACTTCATCTGAAAAGGACATTGTAAAAACTCTTGTGTACTCTTTTTTTTGATTGTTTGCTGTGCACAGCTATTAGGACAAAAATATGCTTGTACTTAACTAATTAAAAAGAAGATGGTAAAGTCAGGTGTTCTCTTCAACTTTGAACAAAACAATGCAGCTGAATTTTTACATTTGTTTTCGCTGGTTCATTTCTGACAGCTCCCACTTTGCCAGTATCTTTCAATTACAGAACTAAAATTGGTTCTGATATGTCTATTATCTAAATAGGACAGTATCTGCAATCATTTTAACAACAGATCTTCACAAAAAGCCTGGTCTCCATGTTGGTGCTTTTTTGACATACAGACATATATATGTTATGTCCCTTTCAAAGCCTAGGAATACAGAAAAGGGAACCATACAGTTTTCTTTTATGTTCAATGAAAAGTAGGTAGACCAAGAATTACAAGTTTGGCATTTCTGCAATAACTATGCAATTTGAAGAGCACTGTTTTGAAGGTGGATTTGTAATTTTTAAAAATCCTGGATACACCTCAATGCTAAGACTGATTTTATGTTGCATATTCCAATTTCTTCCTCACAATAAATGCAGAATAAGAATTAAACCCAATATAAATATGAATATTACAGGAAAATGTCTAAAATCAGAGAGAGTTGATTAGACTCCATATAGATGCCACTTCATATCAACAGCTTTGCAAAATTCAAAAGTGCACAGAAAGTAACTAAAAAAGGGAGAGAAAAAAGACATTTGTGGCTAAACAGAACCTTACTGCATTATGAATTCCATGTTGTTTTATTACCATAAGGTAAATATCTGGCTTTTGTCAGTAGTCCATTAGAATTTCAAGAAGACAGTTGTTTATAAAGAATAATATGAAAACAAATACATGACTAAGAAGTATGTCCTTGGTTATTTCTCACAGTAAAAACTGCAAAAGACTGTTGCAAATGTAACACCACACATATGAATTTACATTAGAAAATTCAAGCTTCCACGATGCTAAGTTGGTCAGTGAAATGCTGCTTCCCCCCACTCCTCCATTTCATGGAGATAAAAATCTGCATTTTTTTAAGATGATGTATGAGTATGGGTCTCATTACTACAAGGAAAAATTATCCAAAGAAATAATCTATACTCTAGAAAAAGAACCGGTTTTAAAAGATTTCAAAGAAAAAAACAAGTAAGTTACCAATTCTGGCGCATTTCCAGAATATGCCCAATAGTCTGTAAAGATAAAAAGAAAAAAACAAACAACTCATTAGGCTCTTAGTTTATTAAAATCATTTAAGTAAACTTTTTTTTATTTTTTCTAATCTAAAACAATTCAAACAAACTGTAGTTTGTCAACCTGACACTATTCTCAACATCACATAACACCAGATACCTGCATAGAAGGGTATAGGCTGTGAACTAGACAAATGGCAAAGTTCTTTTTGAGTCTAGCATGGTTTTTTATGCATGCAAGAAAAACAAAGATGCATTTATTCAGTCTGTGTTCCAAGTCTGAAGATCTCATCAGGATTCTACATTTAAGTACCCCAAGACAGAAATAAAACAGAACTAGAAAAATACTGGAGTAGGAAAAGCCGACAGGTCTCACTGCTATGACTTTTGATGTGATGATTTTGAAACAAGTTTTCTTGCAGGTATAAGAGATGAGGAACTATGAGAACTTTAATGCTTTGTAGTCTTTCTGTTGTATTTCTCTTAGCAATAGTAGATAAAAATGCCCTTTCTAGCAGAGCACACACGTAAGTGTAAGCTGATAGAGAATACCTGCATTGAAAAATGTAAAAAAAAAATTAATAAATTCTGCAGGTTTGTTTTTATTCTTTTACCAAGGTTTACCTTGCTTGTGCTTCTAATCCTGCTTGCCCAGAACGCTAATTCTCACAAGTGAAAAAACAAAGGAGAAAAGCAGCCTTCAGCTATTCAGAGCAGACCCAGAGGGATGTACGCAAGTGTAGGCCAAAAAATATGTAATTTCTTTGTGTAACTAAAATAATCTCATACTAACTGCTGAAGAGGAAAAAGAGCAGGGCATGCTTTAGAATCTGAGGAGTAAGAGGGGAAGAAATACAGAAATACTCTGAATAAGATACCAGCTTTCAGCTTTTCAAATGTTACTCAAAACTGTGTTGAAGGCTTGTCTGTATGAAGGTCTCCTTCACAATAAGACTGGTTGCAATGCAGTAAAAACATCTGGATTCAACTATATTGTCTATTTACAGAGTTGTGGACTAAAAGAAACTTAATTATTTTTCTCCTTCTCCTGATATGTTTATCAGCAGAAACTTCAGTCTACATTATTTGTGGGGTTGTATATACCACCTGCTGTGATGGCAGTTCTCCAAGTGCTTTCCCACAGTGCTCTGAACCCATATCCACAATGGTTTGATTATCTGTCTTCCTCCTATCTTGGGCTCTAGCAAATGTCTGTTTTTTCCCCTCCTTAAATTCAGACAGATAGTTTTGAGCCATTTACTTCTGAATACTTCAGTAGTCAACATACCCTGAATTTTCAAAAATTACTTTCTGCATGTCTTCGTATTTTATGATCTCTCTTTTATGGTCTTAGTTTACTTCAGCACCAATTCCTCTTTCCATTTAGCAGCCTCCACTTCACTTCTGAAACAAAAGTCTGGTGTTGGGCAGGTATGAAGCACAAGTTCCTAGAGGTAGCAACTGACTTAGGTTTTCAAATTCAAAGTGAAATGCTTTTTGACTGATGTGCCTTTTTCTGACCAACTTATTGTGAACAGCATTTTTATTTCTAGAAAACAGTATTTTTCATTTGTGCTTTAGATAATTTTACCTGGAGCCAAAAGTATTTCTGTATAGTCAAAGCTTTTTTTTTTCTCCTTTTATATAGCTGCACAAGCAGAAGTAATCATTCCTGCATGTAGACCATCACAATTTTCCAGGCTAAGAGGTCAGACAGTAATATAACCTAAAGATATCTAAAAGGGCATTAATGCGTAAATCTCACAGAGCAAAAGAAAAAGCCCCATAGGACTGTATAGATGGCACTTAAGACTCTCAAAACTGCTGTTACTCTCTGCAAAACTAAGATCTATTGATTGCACGCTGCAAAATCAACACAAAAACTCCCAACGCCAGCATCTGATGCTGCTATGTCTCAAAAACTTTCCCAGGAACTCAAAGAAATAAAACATTACTGTCCTATTCACACACATATCTGAGGAATCTTACCCGGGAAGAAGAATATTAAATCCTTTGGGCAATCTATTGAATTTGCCTCATAACCTCAGCAAGTGTATTTATTTGCCTTCTCAGGTGTCTTTTTTGACCATATGTAACAATGTAAAGTTATAAATGAAGTACTGTACACTGTCCCTAGCACTGGAGAACTCTTTTTTTTTTTTCTGAAAATATAGATCTATCTTTCTGATTAGGAAGGTAAGAAACAGTTACAATATGAGTTTCATCAGCTATGCTTACTGCATTTAACAATTTATCAAGTTAAATTCACCATTGATAGGAGAGCTGACAAGCCTTCCAACAGATAACAGTACCTTTTCAAAATGCTTGTGCTGCTAATGAAACAGCCCACCACATTTTTGTCCACACAGTCTGCTGCTGAGCAAAACCAAATTAAAATCCGGACCTTCTAACAGCTATAATCACAGCCTCTGAATAAACTAGGGGGGCTCACACTGGAAAAAAGCCTGTGCAGGCCTTCTGCTCTCCTGAATTTTTACACTGCTCATCTTGGGTCCACAACATGCATCTCCAAGTCAAAACCTGTCTGACTATTACAGAAATTATGGTGTCCTGAATTAATCTGTTCCAAAATAATTCCTCCTGAAGCAACTACTCAAATGAAATGCACTGTTCCTTATTCTCCTCTTCACATTCATCTTCACTCCTGTTTTGACCAGGTGAAATGTGTCAGACTGGCTTGCATCCCAGCTCTCTTCTGGCAGTCCCAAGTCACACGTGCATGAGCTGATGCATATTTCTGGCTTTAAGTGTTATGTTAAAAGCATTAATAATTATAGTAGTGTTGGTTATCTGGAGGACAAAAGAACCTCTCAAAATAGAACCCAGTTGAGGTGAGAATGGGTTAGTCGGGCTTCAAACTTTAGCTGCTAAACTGGGAAAGCTGAAAACACAGCATCCATGTGTCTACCAGGACAACCTCACTGCCACTGTAGGAGGGAATGTGAGATACACACCACTGCAGGGCTTATGAGAAGTCAAAGGAAATCTCTGCTGCATATAAACGAACTCAGCTTTCTGGTTAGCAGGGAGGAGAGAACCATGTTGTGATATGCAGTCCCCTCCAGCTAGCATGAAACAGTAAATCTTCACTTGCTTTCCCAACCTTAAGTTCTATTTCTCAGGACAAAGCACATGGAAACACTCAAGTCACATCAGGGAAAATGAAGGTTTAAAATTCTGTTTGACTTGGTAGGAAAAAGACAAATTTTGGCTGGAGTCAAGGGCATGAAATACAATGTTATGAGGATGGATGACATCACTTTGCAACACATTCTCTTAACCAACACAAATGTGTTTCTTTACTTACTATCAACAGATTTAAATCTTCACCAAAGTCACCACTCACTTAATCAGAAATACACTGAATAACTATCAACATTTCTCCTCTCTATCACTTTAATATTTTATTGCTACTTTTTTATTCTATTAATTTGGAGCAGGAATAATCAGGTAAGATCATCTCTGTGGTAAAATGAAATATCACTATAATTTATTATATCCAGTATGTCTAGACATTTCCATCTGAGCATGGAATATGTTAGTGAAGAGGGACAGACAGGGGTTTAACAGCATATGAGCTCCATGTAAACATCTACCATTCAGGAAACAAAATTCATTGCTTCCAGGCCTGTGTTCTATTCTCCAGTACAAAGTAGTCTACATACGTATATATAAAACAAAAATAAAATAGTATGTCCAACATCTATATAAATACAAACCTACAGATCAAACGTCCAACTCCTCCACTGTGTCAGCACCCTTTGAAAACATTTTATGAAGAGAGTTCTATTGTACTCCAGACAGATTTGCCTCAAGAATAAACAGAGTAGCTCCAGATTAAAGGAAACACTCCTTGCCAAAAACAGCACTAAAATTTTAATCAGTAAAATAAATATTCTTACTCCTTACTGTGTATACCTCATTGACTATTGTGTTATCTTTGACTAGCAGACATCAGAATTCCCCCCACCCTCCCTCAGTCCTTCATGAAGTCATCCTTTCTTTCCATCTTCTATCAAAAGAAATCTCTCATGTCAGTGACAACCTCATGGCCCCAAATGAAAGGACACGAGCATTTTCATGTTAGAACTCCAAAATTAAAAAAAGCTAGTCTACTCTGGGTATCTTACACTGCTAGAAGAAAACCTGTGTGATAAAATGGCAATTCCAGAGGTTAATTGCAACGCAGGCTTTCAGAAGACAAAAATGCAGTAGTTGTTAAGTCTACGTAAAACCTGACACTTTTTCTGAAAATTAAATGCAGAAGCAATAGAAGAGACTCAGAGGGAAAAAACCCAACATTTTACTTAACAGCAAATGATCAAATGAAAAAATTAGTTAAACACCCAGTGCCCAACAGTCTTTTTTTTTTTTCCTCCAGCTACAATTACCTCCTACTTTTATAAATATTATATCCTTTGGATTAACCTTAGGTGACAGTGTTACTGAAATACTGTGGACTACCTCAGTGGTTTCTAGATCAAAATTCCTGCTTGTTTAAAACCACAGCATACTGTTGATTGCACCTAATATCCAGTTACATTCTTTGGTAGCACAATAAAAATAGGTAAGCCAAAAGACGAATGGGCATTAACAGCTTAAGTGAGGCACAGATTTGGCTCTGTGGCTGTCTCCATTTCCCACTATCCCAAGAACTGTGCTGCTGAGCAGGCAGGGAAGAACTTTTGCAAAAGTACTGGTCCCACAACATTCAATTCTGTGCAGGAGAACAGGGGACAAAAAGGAGAAAAACACTGGTCACCTAGGAACATGTACATAAGGAATAAAAGTGAGAGATGAAGTTATAGTGACCCAAAAAATACTAATTAGGTTTTGTAGAAGCTTGCAAAAAACTCTTCTATTAACTCCTTAGAGAATTAAAAAAGATTATTTTAAGAAACCACAGGTAAGGATAGTGGTGATTATTTTTAAATAATCTAATTTTTGTTTAGTTGCAGACTGTTGAAGAAGCTGTGTTTCAAACTAGTACCTCCAAAATGCGTATTTTGAAAACAAGCAGACAGCTTCTGCGGTTAATGTTTTTTACCCAGACTTAAGAATAATAAAAAAATTATTACAGTGATAGTTGCATGTAGAAAAATCCTTGCTTTCTGTCACGTATGTCTGTATCTTTAATAAGCACTTAACGAGAAAATTTAGACAATAACTTATAAAGCAATATTAGCTGGCTTTGTTAATTAATTAGTTCTTACTAAAAAATAGCAACCAAGTGTTTGCAATTACCTCACTGCCTTCTTTTGTAAGGTGTAAACTGAAAACCTCTCTCTTTAAAGAAGTGGGTCATTTTTAAAAATATAATTGGTTATTATCATGTATCATTGGCAGATACTAAGACTAAAACGTTGCTGTTAAAACGAAACAGCATGTGCATTTTGGAAATGCTCAGACTACATACCCGGTTTTATTTCTGTCCAGTAAGCTGGGAGCCAAGGATCTGATATAGGCACAGGTACATATGAGCAGCAGGATTACCGTCAGTAGACTCTGAAAGTTGAAGATGGCAGACTACAGAAGAAAATTAGAACAGAAGGATTATGTCTTTGCAGTACAAAAGATTCCCTAAACAGTACCCATTAAAAACAAAAATCAAACCAACAATGCCAGTGAGCCAGAATGTCTTTTAACAGCCCATTGTACACGATGGTGCAAAATCAGTTTTTTTACTTCACAATTAATCCCAAGAAGGGTAAAGAAAATAGTAACCTAACAGTTTTACCCCCAGACACCTGTTCCAAAGTCAGTTTGTGGAAAGTCATCAGCAGCAGGCTAAGAGTTACAGAAAACAGATGTTCCCTCTCAGCCAGGAGTAAGTGTAACTGCAGTTCACATCGATAGAATATGGTGGTGTGGTGAAGGTGAAGAGTATTTGACAACTAAACCAGCAGCAGCAAGACAGAGAATAACAAGAAATACGTAGAAGGATTGTTAATATACAGCTCTATGAACCCTACATCCAAAATTCAACAGATTCGAAGAAATATATAAAATTAAACACATCTGAGTTACAAAAAGATAACTGAATAATTTTATTTTCAAATTATCTTTTGATGCTAAGTTTAAAAACATCTTTACTATAAATGTGTTTTAGAAGTGTTAATTATATGGAAATGCTGTACAAATTAAGAAACTGCCTTAGGATGGAGACTAATCAAGATAGTAAAACTAATCTGTCTACTGGCAGTAAAAAGAAACAATTCTTGAGAAACTGCCATAATATTTGGCTAAATGCTAATCTTTAAAATGTCAGTAAAATGCAGTAAGTGCATTATACAAGGTTGTTTTCTGGTTTTTGTTTTTTTTTTAATTAAAGTCTAAGACTTGTGTGGCAAACATGCCCTTTATTAATTAACTTATAAGCAACTATCACTGCTTACGTGAAACAATTTGTCTGTTTCAGAAGCACAAACATTGTAAGAGAAGGTTTTTATGTAAGGATTGCCGTAGCTCCATAATCAAATACAAAATCTGGAAGAAAGATGGCTGATGCTAATTTCCAGCAAGTGCCACATCACCATTACAAGAAATAATGCACTAGCAAGATTGTTTTTTTTTTTCCAGTAAGTTCACTGGAATTTTTTGTAGCAATATTTGCCTATTAGCCCTTCTGATTTGCAGTTTCTAATAATTGGTCCCAGATCTGAGACTTAGATTCTTATTACAGTATGAATACAACATGAATACAACCCAACAGTATGAAGCTGCAGTTTTATTGTTTCTGGTTGTTTTTTTGTTTTTTTTGTTTGTTTAACTTAGCAAGTTTTAATGGACATTTTAGTGAACAACACCAGGTAGTATACTAGGCAACTGTTTAAAGATCCTTATTTTCTCTTTGCCCAGCTACACTCATTTGAAACTCCTATTTAGTGGGAAGTTCAAAACAATGGCAAAGCCAATAAAACAAATTTTCTCTTAATTCTGCAGTTTTGATTAATTTGAATCTAAGTATCTTATATTTTTTGTACGGCTCAACCCAAAGTCTGAGTAGTAGTATTTAATTAAGTGTAAATACTTAGCACTTAGGAAGGGGTATTAGACTGCAGTTGCCTTCTTCAAGCAGAACTCAGTGGGATTTAGGAGCACATCAGAGCCCACATTTCCACAGCGTGAGGCACAGCTCTGTTGATCTATGCACACTTTCCTCCTATGTCATGTAATTCTAATGTTTTGAAGCTCTGATTTCTCTAAATAATTATGTATATATATAAAAGAAAAACACAATAGATCAGAATTGCACTAAAAGCAAATTTAGAGATAAAAATGAGAAGCTTTAGTAAGAGCAAAGCCATTGGAATATCCATGGCCCTTCTGATACTGAGATCTAAAACTCTGTAACAAAAAAAATAAATACATAGTATAACCTTAGCTTACATAGATGTTTCCATGAGTCACATGAAGCAATACCAGAACTTGGGTACAACTGCCAGCCTAAATCCATGCATTACACAGGTACAGACACAACAAATTTAAATGTTTCAGTTAATGGAATTCAACAGACCACTCCTCCACAGGGAGCTACCTGTAAAAAAGCAATAGCATAGAGAGGCTCAAGAAGCAACTGAACAACACTGCCACTGCAGCCTGTATGGGAGATTTCAGCATCCCCGAGGGCATGGCCTCAAAGGCAGGACTAGCCATTGCAGTGGACATGCTACTCTCTCTTTTACTTCTGCCCAAGCAGAAGCCCTCTTGCACCAGCCTTCTTTTGTTCTGAAGCAACAAAATTCCCAACCCAGATTCCTCATTCTTCCTGGCCTATGACAGGGGCAAAAGGCTGAGAGATAAAAACAGGGACAGGCTGAAAATGTGACCATAAGGATGAAGAGAGAAAGTAGGCAGCGGAGAAAGGCAAAGAGTAAATAACAACTCCATGCAACAGCTGACATGCAGGAAGGTTTCTGGGATGAGTAAGAGCATGGACAGGGAACATCACATAAGTGGAGAGGTTATCCAGCACCCAAAGTCTGCCCTCCGGTGCTCAAGGAGAGGCTACCTGATTTTTTCCTAAGCCACAGCATTTGTTAAATCATGTTTAGTGTAGTATTTCAGCTTAGCTAGCCAAGTCATCAGTTCTGTTCTCCTGTGTTGCAAATAATGGAGATATTATTCACAAAGGACAAAAAACTGCCCATCTCTATCAGTAGACTCTGGCCTTTGTATAATGCATAAGCTTTTGCCAACTTCAGAAAGCAGGAAACTCTCAATGCCCCCAGAGGCAACTCTTACAACCTAAAAGAGGCTCCTGTGGGCCTAGGAACGTGACAGGGCCAGATCCAGGAGTGGCTGCTTCTCAGCAAACCAAGATACTCCCTATCAACTGATTAATTTGATCAGTCCTCTGGGAGAGACAGCTGCTCTCAGTATCTCACAGTGCAGTGCCTGCCAGAGCTTGGTTCCCATGAATTCCTGCAAGCTTTCTCCTGCAGCTGCTTCCCAAGCAGGCTGGCAGTGTCAGGTACTTCAACATACAAAAATGGCAGCAGGGCACACTTGCTTCCTCTTAAACAGAGACTGTAAATGTATACTCATGAAATGTGGTGTTAGTCAATCAGTAGGGGCAGTACATAATTGTTCTTTGTTGGGCTCTTCATGTGTTTCTCCAGATATGCAGTACAGGGCATCACTGTAATTACAGACACCATTTCACCAAAACATCCTCTGAATTACACCTTTACCTATGTAGTCACTTTAAAAGGACAGACATGCATATTTTAAAATTTGTCAACAAATTTAAACTGGAAATGAAAATTTATTTCTAAAGTGGATGGCTCTACATTTCACAAACAAAGTAATTCTTACGGTCCAGATGAATTTATAGAAAAGAGCAATTTACATCCAGCTGCTTGAACTGATGTAATTAAAAACTCCTGTAAAAGTCATACATTACTCGAAATTCTTTTAACAAATACTGCCTTCACATCCTAAGCAATTTGGGAAATGTTGCAATGTAGGTGGGTTGCAGTTCATCTGGTTAAACTGGATTCCTCTGATCCAAAAGTAATTAATCAGAATTTTTGAAATGTCTTGACCAACTTAATGTAGATCCTGTGAGCCTCATTCCCATTGTTAAGAAATTTCAGCACACAGAGAAATTTATGCTAATTTTTAGGCTGTGTCCACATGCCGATGAAAAGACAACTAACTTCCACAGAATCAGATTGCAAATGGAGAAAAAACTCAGCACTGGTATTTTTTTGTTGTTTAAAACAGTGCAAGCTGTGGCTTTAATCTTATGTGCTGAAATTTTCTACATTTGCATTTGGCACATTTCTGACATGGTGGAAACACCTTAGTACTTATATCCTATGTTATTTAGGTAATTACACTTTTTGCCCCCATCCCTCCCCTGTGTGCTGTCTCCAGGTAGTTGTGGAGCACTACCACATCACCTGCAGCACTAAGGAGGCATTGTATTCATCAGAACTTGCAAGAGCAAGCTTTTTCTTAAGTCTTTAGTAATTTAAGATCACGGATTTTCGCTTTGAGAGCTACATGCCCAAAGGCTCTTTTAAATAATTTCCAAAATTAAAGCTTAAAAAAATGCCTCAATATTATTTCCCTGATCATATCGTACCTCAGTAAAAATAGTTCCATATAATATACCTTAGAAATAAAGAATGAATACTCTTTAATGTGTTCAGATTAGCAGTGGTGACATGTATTAGAAATACTCTTGCAAATACATGCTATTTAGAAGACCAAAGTTACAGCTAGAAACCATGTCAGTATATTCCCATCTGAATCCTCATCTGAACAGCGTAGCTGTTCAGGGGATATACTGGGGCAAAACAGGGAGTTGCAAGGAAAGAAACAGTCTTTCAGTTGCCCCTGGAAGACACTATCAGTGAGTCTGCTAAAATGCTGGTGGTGGTGTGACAGCTCCTTTTCTGGGGTGAGGAGAGACAGGAGGAGCTTGTGCATAGACTAAAAAAGAAATCTATGGAACAGAATATGGTAATTTAACTGTTTAATATACTTTACTAAGTGCTGATTTAGTGTGAAAATACTTCCGTGTGGCTGAGAAATGGAATCCTGATGGGTCATAACATTTGCACAGCCCCTGTCAACCTGATTACAGACAACGTTGTCACTCCTGCAAACCAGTCAGCATTAAATTTACTACACTTGGGGAGAATAAAAAAAAAAAAGGCAGCTCAGAGTTCTGGTTATCAACAACTGTTGCACTTTGTAAGAGTATTTCATTCAATCTGCTGAAAGGAAGGGCACACTGATGATTGCCTAATTTTTTAGTGATTACTGGGAAATGTGTATTCAGCTTCAACAGATATAACCGTAAGAAATGCACTGATCCTAAGCTTTTTGCTACAGTGAAAATAACAGCCACATCCAAGACTTCACGCGGTATCTGTCTCTCTATGTCTTATTCTCATACATTTTCTCATTCAGATATTGTTTTGTTGCATGTGTTTGCAGACAGCACCACATAATTATGAACCATGTAATGATGCAACCCTTGGACTACACTATAACAAATTACACTGTTAATT